AGGAAAGCAAAGTAACCATTAACATTGAAAAACAACGAAACAGGTGGGTGGACTACTTTAAGGAACTCTTGAATCGACCAGCTCCACTGAACTCACTCATCATCGAAGTAGCATCCATGAACCTCCCAATCGATGTTGGGCCATCAACGTTTGAAGAGACCAGCATGACCATCAGACAAATTAAGAGCGGCAAAGCAGGGCAATCAGACAACATTCCAGCAGAAGCAATGAACTCAGATGTAGCAGTAACTGCAAAAATACACCACATTCTTTTCACTAAGATTTGGGATGAAGAACAGGTACCAACAGACTGGAAAGAAGGACTTCTGATTAAGATACTAAAGAAAGGCGATCTCAGCAAGTACGATAACTACAGGGGCATCACTCTTCTCTCAATACCGGGAAAGGTCTTCAGCAGGGTATTGTTAGGCAGAATAAAGGACCCAACTTCGAGATCAACAGGCTGGATTCCGTAAGGATCGATCGTGTACAGACCAAATCGTAACTCTACGGATCATTGGGGAACAATCAATTGAATAGAATTCATCACCCTACATCAACTTCATTGACTACCAGAAAACATTTGAGAGCATGGACAGGACAACACTATGGAGCCTTCTTTAACACTACAGCGTGCCTGAAAAGATGGTAAATATAATACGGAATTCGTATGATGGATCAACCTGCCAAATGGTGCATGGAGGACAGGACCGGTCTCAAGCAAGGTTGCTTACTCTCACCCTTTCTCTTTCTTCTGTTGATCAACTGAATCATGAAGACGTCAGAATCTGGAGGAAAGCACGTGATACAGTGAACAGCTAGAATGCAGCTGTACGATCTAGACTTCGCAGATGATCTGGCTCTTTTATCATACACGCAACAACAAATGCATGAGAAGTCGAACAGTGTAGCAGCAGCCTCAGCAGCAGTAGGTCTCAATATACACAAAGGGAAAAGCAAGACTCTCCGATACAACATATTATGTACCAATCGGAATATACATGAAGGAAAAGCTTTAGAGGATGTGGAAACCTTTACATACCTGGGCAGCATCATTGATGAACACGGTGGATCAGATGCAGTTGCGAGGATGTGGATCGGCAAAGCACGAGCAGCATATTTACAACTGAAGAACATCTGGAAATCAAAACATCAGTCAACCAACACCAAGATCAGAATTTTCAATACAAATGTCAAGACACTTCTGTAGTATGGGGCGGAAACTTGGAGAACTACGAAAGCAATCATTCATAACATACAAGCGTTTATTAACAGTTGCCTACGCAAGATACTTCGGATCCGATGGCCAGACACTATCAGCAACAAGTTACTGTGGGAGGGAACAAACCATATTTCAATGGAGGAAGAAATCAGGAAGAAGCGCTGGAAGTGGATTGGGCACACTTTGAGGAAATCACCAAATCGCGTCACAAGACAAGCCCTCACATGGAATCCCGAAGGCCAAAGGAGGAGAGGGAGACCAAAGAACATATTACGCCGAGAACTAGAGACAGACATGAGAAGAATGAACAAAAATGGATAGAACTAGAATGAAAGACTCAGGACGGGGTGCGTTGGAGAATGCTGGTCGGCGGCCTATGCTCCATTGGGAGTAACAGGCGTAATTAAGTAAGTAAGTTGCATAATTATTGTTAGTAGTCAACATTCAGTAGTCGACTAATCTAATAAAAAATAGGTATTTCATGTCACGTCAGTTCATGCTTCATAATGCTGTTCAACCAGGTACTTTCATTTGTTTCCTTTCTAAATTGACTTGCAACGAGGCGAAATAAACTTCAAGTACTTGGGCGACTTCATACATTATTTATTTTATAGTGACAATGACTGAAAATTACCCTCCGAGTTCTAAATGATTATAACCTGTTGATAAACTTTTGTATGATCTATATATAAGTAACATTTAAACTGAGGCTTAATTAAGCTATTATCATTGTTATCATTGATACAAATAGTTGAAATACAAAAAATTACAAGTTTGAACGTGAATATTTTTTTGCTGTCTTGGCACCATCTTGTATGTACATTCTAATGTTATTTCTCGCTATATTTTCTAGCAAATAATAAATGAGTATGATTATTTTAATGTGACCATGATGTTTAAATCATTCATTATAAATTGATTAAAATGACTGAACTATCTTTCCAATAAATTGAGCGATAATTATGCGTATATTGAGAGTTCAAAGTTTAATATACTTCATGAGATTAATAATTCTTATTACAAGAACTTATTGGACTCCATAATGAAGTAAATTCAAATATGCATCAGATTGATTAAATCTGGAAAGGATATCTTATAAGAAACAGTTTGGATGTGGGTATAACTATGTAGGTGAGGCTGAACTTTAATATAACTTTTAGGTTTTAACTGTGCTTACTTTCAATAATCCTGTAAAAAAATGTATAACGGGATACTAATATTAACTATTTAGTGTTGTATTAATGAAGGTTCGTCTATTATGTTATAAATGAAGCTGGAATAATATCTCATGAGATATTTGTACGTTCCAACGAACTTCGCATGTAAGAAATTTGAGAACTAATTTTTTTATGGTCTGCTCAAAGTTGACTCTAAAGTTAATCAAGTTTTCATCGATTGGATGTCTAAAAATATCCGAATGTTAGCGTCAGATTTCTGTTTATTAATGGGATTTCGCTGGTTCATTAACGTGAGCACAATATAGAGGATTTTGAAACTGGGCATAATCGTCCAGAAGTATTTGTTGTTCTTCACAGGATTCAGAGACAAAACGACTGACATTCATACGGACATGTTTCCATTTCAGAAATACTACGATTTCGTGTCTAAAAAAAGGTAGTGAATTACTATGATCACATAAAAATTAATGTCGACAATATATTCTTAATCTAAGTAACCTGTCTGAATTGAATAAAATATGCTTTGCAAGGTTGTTTTGGGAAATTTCTGAAGTGCAGTAGTTCACAAAGGTATCATCTAGTACTTAGAATGCGTAGTTACAAAAATATTAAACATTCGGTTCATCTTATAAAATGTTTTAGGATAAGAAACTTGGTGAATTTCGGAAAAACCAGTCGATAATGTTTGATTTTTATTATTTTGTCATTTTTACTCCTTTTCAATTATTTTCACAGCTACTAATTAACAAATACCACAACTTTTAATTATTCTGTCAAACAGCTATCACCTGGACAATTATCTTTACTTTACCACTTCTTCCTTGGCCGATTGTTACGTAACTCACATTCAATACCTGATTTTCAATTCCGGACAAAATACTACTTCAATGAGTTTATAAGCATCAGTGTCAAGGTTGGACTTGATAGTTGAGCATTGGGTATAAAGTTGTTAATCAACAATTCTTTGTTATATCCCAGAGTAAATTTACTCTGAAGAAGTGGCTTACATTAAGTCACGAAGTGTCAGAATTACAATTTTTCTACTCTTTGGGATATAACAAAAATTTATTTATTATTATACTGCTTCAAGTTTTTGCAATGATTAGTACCTTTCTATTTTATTATAGAACAGTATTTTAGCAAATAAAATGAACTATAAATACGTTTATACAGCTTAAGTAAATGAAATCGTCGAAGAGGAAATTTTCTTCGATGCATTGCCTTTCTTCTTCAGTGATATAATTTAACTACTTATAAGTAGCATACATTTTAGATTGTTTAAAATAAACCAGAAGGTTTGCAAATGAAGCTACTTTAAAGTATTATTTGTGTATTTTTGCGGACTCATGATTTGTTTTGGTGTGTTATGAAGACATGGATTTATCTACAACTTTCACAACGCTTAAGTAATGTAGGACTAACGTCCTACAAAATATAATCCTGATTTACATTTTCATGGAAGTTTGATGTATTTAACCTAATTATTTTGCATAAACTCTGTGGATTTTGAATTTAAACTGGACATAGATTATTCATGGAACTACATTTTAAAATGTATATAGTGACTATCTAACAAAAGGGACTGATCATATGATCAAAACTTATTGTTTTTTAGACTATTAGACGTAAGAGGTTTGTTATCATTTGTGTGCGTACTAACAATTTTATTCATAGACACATTCTTGACGGATATTTAAACTTGATTAGATCTGAAGGATTGTAATTCTTTGGCAAGAAATTTTTTGTCATACTAAGCCTTCTGTTGATGAAGCAGTCTTAAAAACATCCCTCATCCAAGTCCCTAGAGGTCGGGAACACCAGAAAACCTTTTACCCAGTCAGCGTTGAATAGAAACTTTGCAGGAATATCTAAAGAATGTAGAGTCACGTATCATGCTTTTGATTGGATATTTATCTATAATGTTACTATATTCCAGGAATATTTGAAGATTAAGGTCGTGTGTGATTTCATAAATGCTTTCGTTTTTCTGTATATAAATTAACCTTAGAATAAACGTCCACTTACAATTTGTTCCTTCTCTGTAGCATTTCAGTTGACGTGTAGAAGTAAATGGGGATATCTCAACCATCTAGAATGACAGCTTAGGTGTGTCAATAGCAAAACTTATTATCCATGACTTAACAAGCATTTTTTAAGTCACTGATATAGAAGGATTACCAAATAATACATTTTATGTTATGTAGTGTTGAAACAAAAACTAAAGATATGTTAAACTCTTATATTTTTAAAGATAGTTTTCTCTCAGTGTTCTTATTATGAAACGCAGAATTTTATGAAGCTTTAAATTTATTTCAACTATTATAGAATTTATAAAAAACAATTAAGTCAAATAATCAGATTACAAAGTAACAATAAAAGGTTTAAATGTAAGTAGTAAATTATTTTACATGTCTCAATATTGCCTTAAGTCACAAGCATTATAAGCAAAGATGGATGGTGTCTCGTAGTGGAATCCAGGACGCGCGTTTCGTCCCATTTAGGACTCGTGATGAACTCTGAGTGAATATCAACTCTGGGATGCAGGTACATCCAGCTGACGAGTCCCGAATAGGACGAAACGCGCGTCCTGGATTCCGCTGCTAGCCACCATCCATCTTTGCTTAAAACTTATATTTTATTTACCAAAATATATATTTGTATCTGAGACTACAAATTATTTAAGTATGATAAAGATAATTGACCATCTCGATTTTAGGTGGTACTATCCACGATTACAGAAAAGATTATTTTATTAAAAAATAAACGAATAATAATTAGATGGAAAACGCTTTCATTGCACTCATATATGAACAAAGAATATTCGTTTCAATCAATTCGCTTCAGATTCTACATATATATATATCTAAATTAATTATCCAAAAAGTGACCAGGTTTATGGCAAAGGATATCGTTTAAGGTTTCATTATGTGAATTGAGGATTGTTAAGCAAAATAAAATTATTAATGTTGAAATGACTAAGACGCAATGTTAACATGAATAAGTTTATACGTTAGTTGCATGAAGTTGTGAGATTAATGATCAGAACAGATATGGATGATTGCAATCAATCAGCATACCTCTATTCCATAAGTTGTTCGCATTTTCATTCTCAATCCTACTAATCCACACCATGGTAAACATGGATAACAAGTTTTTTCATTCATTGCCTTTGTCAGTTGATTTAATAGACAGAAGTAACAACATACCGCGAAACAACCTGTAAATTTTGATTATTAAATATTACTTTATGTATAGTGTATATAAGGCGAGAGAGTATCAATATTATATTGTAAAAAAAAGTATCAACTTTGGATAATAGAAACGAATCTAATATTACATATTGCTTAATAATCAAAATCCAATCTTAATTAACTTTCAACACTTTTTGACAAACCATAGCTCCATTTCACGCCATGTATTTTCCTAGATTATGTAATTCCGTCGCGTACCGTTCAGTGATTTAATCAGGATATTAATCGTAGATCAATAGATATTTCACGTATTTTATATTGATGAAACATAAGTGTTTAAATTTCTTGTTAAATAAACAGTTTATGTCGTGTAGGCACGATCGATAAATCATGAATCACATAACTTACCTTTTTAGTTTTAGTAGGGATTGGAATAGAAGAAAAGGTATCAGCAACTAAACGACTCCACGTATGTACTCACATAAACATAGTATGTATTCAATGTTTAGACACATTGTTAATAAAAGTCGTCTTCAATAAACTGAAATGCTAGTTCAGTATTTACCTAGTTGTTTATGATGATTAATTATAAATTAGACCTTACTAGAGTATGTGGCTAATGCTGAGAATAAGTTTGAAATGTCACAGCCACTTTTTAATTAATAATTACACAAACCGTTAAAATAGGAAATATGTTTCTAAACTATTGAGTGAGTATGATATCGGGACTCAGTGGCCGAGTGGATAACGCGATGGCGAGGGTACTGGGTTCGAGTCCCAAGGTGAGTATGATATTATTGTTTCACTTATTAAATTTTTAGGGTTTGTAGTAAGTTTTTGTTGTGTTAATGGGTTTTCGATTACAAGAATTTAATCAGTCAAAAGACAATTACCTTCTGTTTGGGTCATTTAACAAGGTATAAGTAGTTTTATTAAGGATTTCCTACAGCATATAAAATGTTTATTCACGGACTCTATAAATAGTATACGACTTATGACCATATTGTGAGACCGATGTCAATTAAATCTTTGATAATTTCAAACAACTTGCATGAAACAAGGATAATTACTATTTACTGAGTTAGTAATTACATTATTTGGTCATGAATTCATTGCTATCAGAAGTGAAAGAAACAGAATTTTGTTAGATTACGTTTCGGATAAAAATTACATCATCAGTTTGTATTATGTAATGAACCTACGAATAGAATATTTTTCATGAATCTTTAAAGACATCTAGGAGGTAAAACATTTAATAATCATTCAATTAACCAATACCTATATGTAAATTATGCATAGATCACTATCAGAATTAGTCAATTATTATTAATTACCAAATTAGATAATCAAATCATTTATAAAAATCACAGTCACAACAATTTGATCATCTTATTTTTTAGAGATTTCATTGATTTCATATCTAATGCTAAACGTACTAATCACTAATACTGCTGTTGGATCTTTATCTACCAAAGGAAGTCAGACTCAAACTAATGTTATTTTAAAATAAAATATGTTAGAATTCGTAAGTCAACGTGTTCAGTGTTCACATCTCTAAATGTGATACTAGAAAACGTAGGTTTGAAATTTACAAGTGGATCAACTTCCTGTATATTGAAGATATTCCTAACCGATGAGTGTTGGCCAACTACTTTTAACCATTTGAAATCAAAACAAAGCTACTACCACTTTAGTCACGTGTTAGGACTAACGTAGAACGGTATAATTTTCTATTCTAAATCCCTGATTTAAATACACGTGTATCATGATATGTTTTCATCCGATAGAATGTAACTCTATTTTTTATATCGTTGCATCAGAAGTTTGTTATTATAATTAAAACATGAATAGAAATTATAGTTAAACTCACCCCAATCCCTATTTTTACAACAATAACAAATACCACTAGTCCATTGTCGATGAGGTGGAGGTACTAAAGTGAGATTACGAGGTGGGACTGATTTTCCAGGCTGATCAAGTATAGTTCCAACTTGCTTTTGAGATTGCATCTTTTAGTTTACTCCAGGAGGTTTATTTTAAACGTTCGATCAAACGTCTTTATTATGAAAACTGGAGAATCAATAACGTGAAACTCATCGTCAATAAACCCAAAAACAAACCTGTAATCATTCGATTTAGTAAATAATCTGAACGATTTTGTTCTAGAATATATTAGATAGACAATTATACAAACAAAACACATCTGTTGAGACAAAAAATGAGGGTGATTAAATTAGTCAGTTAATAGAGTTAAATATTTTGTTAATTTTAACTGATAATAAATTGATTCGACAGAGATATCACTTTGTAATTTTAAATTGAATTGTCAATAAAATAACTAATAGTTGATTGTAGTATTTAATTTTCAACACCATCACTTTATAAGTATATAAGGCTAATCATAGAATAAAACTATCTGAAGAATGAATTCACTTAGTATTGTTTGTTTGGATCTTCCCATCGATGTGTTTAGGACTGCAACTGGTCAGTCTCTATCTGAAGAATGATCTCAATTGTATTCTAATTGTAACTCAAGTTGTTTAATCAATGTTACATTGTAGAAAATTAAATGCAGAGAAGCATAAATCATAGCTCAACATCACAATACTTATGCTAGCATGAAATCAGATAAAGATAAGGCTAAATCTGAACTGATGTGTAATGATGAATTAAAGAGCATCATTATACAAAAACCTGGAATATGAATTATATGCAAAAGTTAAGACGTTTGTAGTCAAAACTCTTCTTCTGTATAATGAACTTAAGGAAATTAACTACGCTAATTTCGTGAAATAAACACATAAGTAGAAACACCGGAATCCTCTCAGAAATATGCTTCCTGAATTCAGGCTCTCAAGAATCATTTCTCACAACATTTCATGCCCTCTTATCAACAGTTAACCATTGTCTTTATATATGTGGCTAATAGAAATATAATCGGAAAGCAGTCTGAATGAAAGTTTTAAGTTTACATACATTCACTTCGTCATTCCCAGAGTATAACCTTCATAGTTAAAAAATTTGGCATATATGATGCACATTTATTTGGGTCAGCTTACATTTATTGGATAGCGATTTCATGCATGAATTTCAGAAAGTCAAAATTTAAATTCCAACTAATCCACTCAAATTCAGAATAATTATTACATATGATATCGAGCGAAGGGATTCTCTGTAACAATAAAATAACGAGAAAAATATTTTTAACTCGGATTATGAAGCAAGCAAGAAATGCTCTCCTAATTTTGATTTAGAGTGTAAGAAAAATATAATGTTGTTTGTTGACAAAGTAAAAGTATTCTGAAGTATAAAATTATATCATAAAGCGATTAGATTTATAACTAGTGTATTAGAATTAGCGTTTACTGTGTACATTCTTGATCTTAGATTACCAGGAGTTTCCCGATAATCAAGGCATTGAGTTGAGAATCACTTTACAGATAGTTGTTATGTACACATCTGAAGCAATCTAAATCATTATCCATGTGTTTGAAATGCAAACGTTCGTTAGTGGGGAATAAACAGTTAATACAGACGACTACATAATCGCGTAAGAAACGTTAGTTAGAAAATGTGACAGGTGATTATGATAAACTGGTATCATGTGTCTTATTAATACATATTCCATCTACTATGAATAGAACACTTTGTTCGGAACAATAACAAAACTGATTACTGATATGGGTTTGTGGAAATTTTCGTGTAACCTGAATACCACGTCTCACTACAAACTGATTTTATTGTTAACCAACAAGTAATAAACAGTGGTTTCGTTCCACTTAGGGAAATGCCACTAGCATACACTCACGTTTCTATACTCACTAGAATATGGGATGCTCAGAGTTCATAGCGAACAAGACATCTCTGAGATGGACAACGGAATATGGATAACATCAGATGGTGATTACGAAACATCGAAATCTAGTTGAAGTTGGAAATGCTGACCTTAGGATCTCAATTGTTTATCCCAACGAGATGGTGATACTTCACTGTTGGCAGTTAGATTTTCTGTGTGGTCACGAGTGAGCGCTGATTAAGAATCTCGAATGAGAACAAAGTGTCTACCCAATCATTCATTTAGTGTCTTTATGTTATAACAACTGTTTTCATATGAAATAAGTTCCCACAAACAAACTAACCGAAAATCGGTTCCTGAACCATAGGTTAGAATGATTCAGATGAATGAGTATGACATGCATAATCTTCCTTGGACTTTCACTACTCAGATACTTTTTTCCATTTACTGAGATGATTGTTAATCATGAAATATTTACTTGTCATTATGATTACGTTATTGACTGATAAATCACTACAGCGACTGGTGACCATAGAACATCTCGGAGAGGTTGGTGAAATGACAATGTTTTCTACAAAGTCAGGCATTTACTTTCGACTCAATAGTTATACGTAGTCGTTGTATTAGAAAGTATGGAGAATGATTTGTTAATAACCTCGTTTTGGATGTAATTTCTTTAAATATTTAATTGACCGAAAGCAACTTGTTTTTCAGAGTCTACGAAGACTGATAGTAACCTAATGATCATATGTAAAATTATTAAACACTATTTTATTTTTGAGGTCTTGTATTTCCTCGTTGTTGGCATTCAGAACGGAAGTTGACTGGTTAATAGTAACTTCATTGCTGTCGAACAATTTAGTGGTTATGTGAACTCAATAGTTTAGTTGACGTTTGAAGTGGAAGATATTGATTATGGGTCTTAGTGTGAACACTAACTCTGACCCAGGTATATCTATTTGATGAGTCACGAATACGACGAAACACTGATTGTGCTTGACTATTGTTAGCAACAATCCCAAGATTTACTGAACCATTTTTCTTCTTCTTTACAAGACATTTCACACCGAACAAGAGAGACTGTTTTTACTGTACCTCATATTGATAATAAGTAGTTCGTTTCACAATTCTCTCATAGCACAAATACTAAGTTTTACTGGAAGAAAGTGGTTTTATGGTATATAGTTTTTCGAATGGCGTAATTTTGCAAATATTATTTGATTCGGTAGCAAGAGTAAGCTGAAGATGACGTGGAATGCTGTATATATGAAACGAATATTCTTGGTACATTAAAACCATGGTCAACTGGTATATTTCAGAAAATAGTAAGAAAAATAAATTTATTTGAGAAAATCAAACTTCGTATCCTTAAAGCTGTTCAATGTTTAGATCCAACAGTAAATCATTTACAATCAAACTCCAAATTCTTCTTTATCGTCCACGTCCTGGACTTCGCCCACTGTTTGATCTCCTCTTGCCTATCAATGAAAGAATATATTGTTTAGTAGGAATACTAGTAGATTTTGCATTGTGCACAAACTGAAAAAGTGATAATGTTTTCTTTTATGCTGCTGAGTTAAAAAGTGCCAACGGTCTGTTAGCTTAAATGTGCACTGTCATTTAGATCTTGTCGCGTTGATGACTGCTTAAGTTAACTTACTAACTCTTGTTAACTAATTGTATCTATCCTGATTTGACACACTGAACAAACAGTTTTTAATTAAATTCTTTTTAAAATACAACACGTCACAGAGAAATAACTTGCCCTCCTGTTTATATGCTTACGACAATTTCGTAGTCATACAATATCGCTATTTATAGTTTGGAGAACAGTGTCAAAAATATTAACATCACATATATAAGCGATGTTCAAGAATCTCTGAATAAAATAGGTAGTGAGTTATGTGACAGATTTTTAAAGGTAGATTACACAGACTTAAAAAATCTAATAAATCCACACTTATTATTACGTACAAATTAGATAAGAACTAGTACTTCGTAACTTTTCATCTCTCAATTGCTAAAAATCTCAATTCATGTAGTATGTTTATTAAACTTGATATTGTAAGGAAAAGATTTCATTTCCTATCACAGAGTTTATATCAGTAATCTCAGATGAACTAACAAATAATGGTCTCATTGAGACAGAATTGTTTTGATTCTTTGAATTAATGATGTGTTAATCGATTTAAATATTATGTAAAATATTTGTTTATGTCGTCTGGTAAAAATGTTTACCGTATAAGTGTTCACATAAAAAATTTATGTTTACCTAGTGATTGTTACAATCCACCCCGACGTGTTAATTAATACATAATTAAAAAAATACGTGTTAAAGACAACAACAATAGGTTGGTTTGAAAAAACTGACCGCACAAACAACAACATGTGTCATTACGGCGTGGTGATCGCGATGCCCATCGATTTGGGTATGGGGATGCACCCCTGCTGGTAGGCGTTCCACTCCGACTAGGATTTCCTGGTTGCTGTCGAACAACTTGGTCTTTCTGTGGCATATTATAAAAGTTTATTTGCATATAGACTTTTATATACTTGGACTTCGAGTGCACGAACTAGTTATCCAATCAAAGATGTTTCCAACTAATTTATCAAGCTGGGTGATGTACTTTACAAGTATCCATCCATTTGTGAACGAATCTTCATAAAATTGTTAGCTTTTGTCCTTGGTAGGTTACTTTTCACCTGGTGAAGGGTACTTAATGACTAAAACTCCTAGTGTACCAATTGCAAGTAAATCCGATCACATGACAACATCGTTAGTTCAGGTGAACCATTCAGGAAAACAACTGTTTTATATAGTAACTTTGCCTTGATTATTGCAATTCAATAAGCAAGTAGATAGGTCAAGGAAAATCCATAAATAAAGCCATGTTTTCTCAAATATATCTACTGAAAAATCTAAGTGGAGTGGTGGATTTGTGGCTAAAGAATTCAGATTTCAACTATTAGGTGACAGGTTAGAACTCCACTTCACCCACTTTGATTTTAGATATCGAGTAATGGTTGAGTTCCGTAGCTTCTTCTCGAAAACCCAAACCAGTTAGCAAGATGAATTTAGGAGATATTTTGGTTGAGTAAATGAACTGAAGTTAGTCATAATTAGAAATAGGATAAACAAAAGCAGTGATAGGAACTGCAAGAGACTTGTGATGATTAGCCAGAGTAATCAGTTAAATGAAGGAGTTAAATTTCTGTCAAATAGGAAGAGAGAGATCGGTAAATCTCTCGTGAACACATCTGAGCAAACGTTCCAGAGTTTTAAATAAATAATATATTTGTAATATCCCAATGAGTAGACGTTTCGTGACTCAGTGTAAGCCACTTCTTCAGAGAATAAATAACCAAATTAACATTAATCGAAGTTTAAATAGTACAACGGAACAATCCAAGAATATTAGGTGATCAATCAAAAACAGGTCTGAATAAATCACTGTCACGTCATTTCATTTCGGTCAAGGTGATTCATAAGCGACATGTATGTAATTTTGTGTGTATGTATGCACTGTTAATAATGAAAACTGTGTGACCTTTATAATTACAAAACGGATAAATACACTTTCATCTCACATCAAATTCACGAATGAGAATAAAAATGAACATGGAGAGCTACCGTTCTTAGATTGCTTAGTGAAAAGAAATATAAATGGAGTTCTAAATTTATCCATCTACCGAAAGCCTACACACTCTAATCGTTACATCGACTTCCATTCAGCACATCCTTTCAGTGCTAAAATTTCGTTAGCCTTAAATCTTGTTAGAAGAGCCAACAAGATCATCTCTTCAGAAGAGGACAAACAAAAGAATATAATTAGCATCTTACAATTTAATAATTTTCCTATGAAGATTATTAGAACTATATTAAAACAAGACAATTCAGTACGCAATAATAATTCGAATGAAATGCCATGGATTGGTACTGCAGTCTTACCATACCGTCATGGCACAACTGAAGAACTCCAACGGATATTAAGACAACACAGAATTAAAGTATATTACAAAACAACTAACACACTCTGAAATACTTTAGTTCGATTAAAAGAAAAAATACCATTCATATCTACACAGAACTGCGTCTACAAATTAGGTTGTGTCGATTGTGATGCCTTCTATATTGGAGAGTCATCTCGCGAAATCTTAACTCGCGCTAAAGAACATATCAGGTACACAAAGAAACCACCTAATAATCCTGTAGAATTAGAAAGACTTCAGATTAAATCAGCAATAGCAGTTCACGCCATTTTCAACGGTCATCAAATTGATTTCGAAAATATCAAAATACTACAGAAAGGTTTTTCTAACTACAAAGAAAGAAGAGTAGCTGAAGCTTTCCATATAATGCTTAATCCCACAGCTCTCAATAGAAAGGAAGGCCTTACCATACAGCCTACTTGGACCATCTATCCTAGTCACTCAGTCTGATATTATTTACAATTTCACACCATTACATTACAAATCAAACTCTATCCTTTGTAATTATAAAGGTCACACAGTTTTCATTATTAACAGTGCATACATACACACAAAATTACATACATGTCGCTTATGAATCACCTTGACCGAAATGAAATGACGTGACAGTGATTTATTCAGACCTGTTTTTGATTGATCACCTAATATTCTTGGATTGTTCCGTTGTACTATTTAAACTTCGATTAATGTTAATTTGGTTATTTATTCTCTGAAGAAGTGGCTTACACTGAGTCACGAAACGTCAGAAAATCTAATTTTTCTACTCATTGGGATATTACAAATATATTATTTATTTATAACAATCTACCCAATGCTCAATTTATTCAAAGTTTCCAGAGTTTGTTAGTATTAGGAATTCATAGGAAGTTATGTCATTCTCAGTTGGAAATCATTGCTTTTGCTTAAGAGAACCAACAAACAGACCTGAAACTTGCATTTCCCATGTTGACATTTGCTTTATCATCATCGAATACGTTACGTTTTAATTTCACCTTGTCCACTGCTTCCAAAGGTTGCGTAAAATCTGTGTGTGCAGAAGTAATGTAGATATCATTGACAAGGTGTGTTACTTGATGATTTCCAATAAATTGAACATTGAGTAGATTGTTGATGTTAGAAATAATGATATATTTGTCATATCCCAGTGAGTAGAAAATTAGATTTCCGACGCTTCGTGGCTCCGTGTAAGCCATATATTCTGAGAACATAATTAAACAGACTAAATTAATACAAATTTAAGTAGTATAATAGGGTTGAGCGAAAATATTTCGTTCGATCAAAAACAGGTCTGGTTAAGCCAATATCATG